TTTTTTTTTTTTTGTTTGTTTTCCGCCATATGTAGACTACAGTATGTGTACTGTACAGACTGCTTCATTTTGAATGTGGGAGGGACTATAGTTTAATTTTTTTAAAAAGATAATTTGAAATTTTTTGTTCAGTATTTCCCATATTACTTTGAATTATTACTTTTAAAAAAGTGACTGTACTTGATAAAAATATTATCACTTTTTAAAAGTAATTGTGAAATGTGGAAATAATTAATAAGAATTTTTAAATTAAGAAATTACTGTAGTCTAAAAATTTTAATGTAATAATGTTATAATTAATTGTGTAGATTATCAAAAGTTGTTGTTCTCCAAATAAACATAGTTTGATAATTAAAACTGTCTTAAAATAATGTTCTTATTTTTTCAGAAGTGAATATAAGCGAAGAATCAAGTTTGAATCCAACTATGCAGTTTACATTTGAATTATATAAAACAATTGTAAGTTCAGAAGAAGGAAATGTATTAATTTCACCTCTAAGTGTAACTGTTGCTTTGAGTATGACTTTAATGGGAGGGAGGAGTAATACTGCTGAACAAATGAAGAAGGTTCTAATTATGGAAAATAATGAAGAAACATTTTCTAAATATTCTGAAATTATTTCGCATTTTTGTGAAAATTCCGATACTGTAAAAATTGCGAATCGAATGTACTTGCAGAAAGATTATTCCATTGAATCAGATTTTACGTCCAGTCTTAAAAAAATATTTCGAAGTGATTGTGGAATTGTCGACTTCATAAATGATTCGATTAATGCAAAAAATAGCATAAATTCATGGGTATCGTCAGTAACAGAAAATAAAATTAACGATTTGCTTGGTGATGTTGAACCATCAACCCGTCTTATACTGATTAGTGCTATTTATTTCAAAGGATTTTGGGCTAAGAAATTCTCCACATCTTTAACCGAAAAACATCCTTTTTATGTAACAAAGGACAAGACTGTTAATACTGATATGATGTATCAAAAAGGAAAATTTGGATACCTGGAAGATGAGGAATTACAAGCTCAAGTACTTCAGTTACCTTATGAGAAAGATGCATTAAGTATGATAATCATTCTTCCATCTGAAATAGATGGACTAAAAGAAATTGAGAATAAACTGAGTTCAAATAAATTCAATAGTTTATGCAATGAAGTTAAAAGCGACGTACGAAAATTACACGTCTTATTACCGAAATTTAAATTGGAAAGTGCAATAAATTTAAAAGCTGTACTGTCGAAAATGGGTATAACAGATTTATTTGATCCAACCAAAGCAGATTTGTCTGGTATCAATAATAATAGAGATTTATACGTTGACGAGGTGATACATAAAGCATTTATAGATGTGAATGAAGAAGGAACAGAAGCAGCAGCAGCAACCGCAGTTCTGGTTCAAAATTGTTGCCTTGAAATAATACCGGAATTCAAAGCAGATCATCCTTTCTTATACTTTGTTGTCGATCATAGATACAACAATATTTTATTCATTGGATCATTGAAATTGCCACAGTCTGCAAAATAATTTTTTGGTGAATTATAAATCATAATTACTTGTATTATGGCTTCAGGACTTCCATTTAATATCGGACATAATGTGGAATGCATTCTTCCAAAATGCATTTCACAATAAAATATATACATGGAAAAGAAAAGAGTTTGTTTTACTTTTATTCTGTGTGTCTCCTTGCCTCGATTATAATAAATGTCTGATATGAAATGGTGATGTTAGAGCCATAATACAAGTAATGGGCAATCAGACAAGAAGCAATTCCAAAGACTAAATCAGAAATTACTAATATATTATATTTATTTATTTATATGTAAAGAAAGCTAATTAATTTAATTGGAATTAAAAGAAACTTCAAAAGAACAATATTGAATTGTTAATAAAAAAATATGTAAATGTAAATGTTTATTTATATTTATTATTCTGTAATCTAATTCAATTTATTTGATATTTGAGGACATGAATTTTAGTTCGAATTTATAAATTTTATTTTTACTGAATTTTTAAAATGAGAAATAAATAATTTTTATTCATATACAACTCTCAACTGTCCGTTTTTTGCCCGGACAGTTAACTTTTCGATTGTATTGTCCGTGTGCCATGTTCGGCATTTATCCAGTTTTTAGCCAATTACAGCAATCTTTGCTTTTCATATAATGTATTAAGTTACTTTTACTCGACATATACAATGCGTCTAAATCACACGAATGTGTAACTTATGTACAAGGATACCACAACTTTTTACAATCGAGAGATAGCACCACGTGCGTTCGGAGAAAATTTTCCANATCATTGAAATTGCCACAGTCTGCAAAATAATTTTTTGGTGAATTATAAATCATAATTACTTGTATTATGGCTTCAGGACTTCCATTTAATATCGGACATAATGTAGAATGCATTCTTCCAAAATGCATTTCACAATAAAATATATACATGGAAAAGAAAAGAGTTTGTTTTACTTTTATTCTGTGTGTCTCCTTGCCTCGATTATAATAAATGTCTGATATGAAATGGTGATGTTAGAGCCATAATACAAGTAATGGGCAATCAGACAAGAAGCAATTCCAAAGACTAAATCAGAAATTACTAATATATTATATTTATTTATTTATATGTAAAGAAAGCTAATTAATTTAATTGGAATTAAAAGAAACTTCAAAAGAACAATATTGAATTGTTAATAAAAAAATATGTAAATGTAAATGTTTATTTATATTTATTATTCTGTAATCTAATTCAATTTATTTGATATTTGAGGACATGAATTTTAGTTCGAATTTATAAATTTTATTTTTACTGAATTTTTAAAATGAGAAATAAATAATTTTTATTCATATACAACTCTCAACTGTCCGTTTTTTGCCCGGACAGTTAACTTTTCGATTGTATTGTCCGTGTGCCATGTTCGGCATTTATCCAGTTTTTAGCCAATTACAGCAATCTTTGCTTTTCATATAATGTATTAAGTTACTTTTACTCGACATATACAATGCGTCTAAATCACACGAATGTGTAACTTATGTACAAGGATACCACAACTTTTTACAATCGAGAGATAGCACCACGTGCGTTCGGAGAAAATTTTCTAGCTGGGGTCAAAGCATGAATATATAGGTTCATTTAGTTATTTAATTTTTTGGGTTTCACAAGTACTTAATATAATAAAAATCATTTTGTGGCCGGGGTATAAGATTACGTATCTCAATCACTCTGAAGATTATAATTTGTGGAATTTTTTACTTAATCCCAGAGAGTGGCAAGTGTCCCGTTCGCTTCCTCTGCAAATGCCCATGAACAGCACTAATTGATGTGACTTTATCTCAACAGTGAGTCACACATTATATTTTGATCGAAATACGCTTAAATGAGTGACACAGGATTACCCGATTTCTCCGTCGAGACAGCTTTAATTCACGTAACTGGAGAGGCGGAGTAAACGGTGAGCAAACTGGGCTGATACCAGATATTCTGATATTTCCATAAAATAGTACAGTATAATGTAAAATATTAACTATATTTTTGAAACTGAAAATATAACATTTAATAAATGAATCATTTAAATGAAAATCACTATGTATATTGAGAAGTTATCAAATTAAATTAGTTTAACAAAATCGGGGCCCGAGTAAGGTGATACGCCACTTACGCAGTGGCGGATCACCTTACTCGGGCCCCAATGTACTGCCTCATCATCTCGACTGCGCCTTATTCTTTTTGGTCATGATATATTTTTAAGTCACATTAATTTCCAACTTCAGGACAATGGAGCGATATGAAACTACAGTAGAGCGTCGTTTATCCGAATCAATTGGGGACTGGGATTGTTCGGATAACCGATTACATACCAAAAAATATATTAACCTATCCCATGTTGAAATTTTTCTCTGTTACGAGTCGCTTCGCGTTGAATTTTCGTCGATGTTAAGCCTAACGTAAACTTTTTAAAAGAATACGCTTGGTTATTGTATCGTTAAAAATTATTTCTTTATTTTGTACAAACAAAATAAATGTATTGAAAAATATAAAAACAAAAAAAAATTATACTTTGGACTAAAAATTATACTTTATTTATAATCTAGTATCAAAAACATTCGATTCTGCATGACACACAGTCCTGAGAAAATACGTGCGACTAAATATTTAGATGGCACAACGCGTTGATTGGTCAGCTGAATGACGTCAACCTACGAAAATCAGAAATGTTGATCGATTAGCCTAAACTTTGTATTGTTGTTGTGAGAGTGGGCAGACATTATAGTTATAGACTTTTCATCTAAAACTTGATAAAAGGCACTTACAATTTCACTAGCTCTTGTGTCTATTGACGTTAATTGAAAATTTTGCAATAATTTTAACATTAAATTACGTGATATCAAAGATTTTAATGTTGAGACATTTTTAAACATCAAGAAGTAACTTTTATCTGTTTTGTATTTTTGTAAGTTTTTTTTTTGTACATTTACTATAATAATAAAATAATCAAAACTAACAAATGTAAATTGCAAATTAAGTTTTTTTACATTCTTTATTAGACAATACAGTATTTTTAACCTTACAGAAACTTGTATTTAATGTTTTATATATATATTACAACAGAATATGCTAAGTAGAAATGCAGATTAGTTAACAATTTAATATATATTTTCGCCTAAAATTCATACTTTTTAATGCATAATTGTTAAAACATTTTATAATAAATTATTTTTTGTACATATTCTGTAATTCATTGGTTTGCTTTTCAAATCAAATCCTGTGGAAACTTAAATATAGACACTGGATATATATTTTCCAATGCAACCAGGTATACAGCACATACAAGGCATCCAGAAATAGTTATTCATTAGTATGGTAATATTATTTTAACAAAAAATAAAAAAGGGCTAAAAAAAGAATAGCTTACTATGAAAACATTACAGTACAAATGTAACATTACTTTTTCCTGACACTTATATTGATAAACAATTTCCATGATGAAAAGTATGGAAATTCTTATTTAACACATTTATAACTATTATATTTAAAGGAACTTAAATACTTACAGTATTATTGATTGTTTAATAATTTATACAAGAATTCTATACTTTTGATTTGAAAAATGGTCATACAAGTTTGATTTTAAATACTTACAGTATTATTGATTGTTTAATAATTTATACAAGAATTCTATACTTTTGATTTGAAAAATGGTCATACAAGTTTTATTAAACATACAGTATTTACAGATATATCCATGATGAAACTGGATATATGAAATTTCTGTAAATTTGAAAAGTATTGTTTCTTAACAGATTTTGAAACTTACATTCAAAAGAACAAAATGTCTATTGACAGAAGGAACTGTCAATTCTAACTAAAGCATTAAAAAAAATTTCTGATAACAGTAATCTATGAGGAATATTCTTTATTCAAAATTGTTCAATAACTTTTACATTTAAACTTTATAATTTGTTAAGCGAGATTTGTGAAAATTTCTCTTTCAGAGGTATACAAAACTTAGTTAATTTTATTGTTTTATCTAACTATATTAAATGCATACTACAAATACAAAAAATATTCTGACTTGTCTTAATTATAAATTTCATGCTTTTTTGACCTTTTTCTGAATAATATCTGTAACAAAGTATAAATTTTCTGTTAATTATTATCTGTGCACGTAAATTTAAAACACTAATCGCACTATTAAAATGATCTATNTTCGCGTTGAATTTTCGTCGATGTTAAGCCTAACGTAAACTTTTTAAAAGAATACGCTTGGTTATTGTATCGTTAAAAATTATTTCTTTATTTTGTACAAACAAAATAAATGTATTGAAAAATATAAAAACAAAAAAAAATTATACTTTGGACTAAAAATTATACTTTATTTATAATCTAGTATCAAAAACATTCGATTCTGCATGACACACAGTCCTGAGAAAATACGTGCGACTAAATATTTAGATGGCACAACGCGTTGATTGGTCAGCTGAATGACGTCAACCTACGAAAATCAGAAATGTTGATCGATTAGCCTAAACTTTGTATTGTTGTTGTGAGAGTGGGCAGACATTATAGTTATAGACTTTTCATCTAAAACTTGATAAAAGGCACTTACAATTTCACTAGCTCTTGTGTCTATTGACGTTAATTGAAAATTTTGCAATAATTTTAACATTAAATTACGTGATATCAAAGATTTTAATGTTGAGACATTTTTAAACATCAAGAAGTAACTTTTATCTGTTTTGTATTTTTGTAAGTTTTTTTTTTGTACATTTACTATAATAATAAAATAATCAAAACTAACAAATGTAAATTGCAAATTAAGTTTTTTTACATTCTTTATTAGACAATACAGTATTTTTAACCTTACAGAAACTTGTATTTAATGTTTTATATATATATTACAACAGAATATGCTAAGTAGAAATGCAGATTAGTTAACAATTTAATATATATTTTCGCCTAAAATTCATACTTTTTAATGCATAATTGTTAAAACATTTTATAATAAATTATTTTTTGTACATATTCTGTAATTCATTGGTTTGCTTTTCAAATCAAATCCTGTGGAAACTTAAATATAGACACTGGATATATATTTTCCAATGCAACCAGGTATACAGCACATACAAGGCATCCAGAAATAGTTATTCATTAGTATGGTAATATTATTTTAACAAAAAATAAAAAAGGGCTAAAAAAAGAATAGCTTACTATGAAAACATTACAGTACAAATGTAACATTACTTTTTCCTGACACTTATATTGATAAACAATTTCCATGATGAAAAGTATGGAAATTCTTATTTAACACATTTATAACTATTATATTTAAAGGAATTTAAATACTTACAGTATTATTGATTGTTTAATAATTTATACAAGAATTCTATACTTTTGATTTGAAAAATGGTCATACAAGTTTTATTAAACATACAGTATTTACAGATATATCCATGATGAAACTGGATATATGAAATTTCTGTAAATTTGAAAAGTATTGTTTCTTAACAGATTTTGAAACTTACATTCAAAAGAACAAAATGTCTATTGACAGAAGGAACTGTCAATTCTAACTAAAGCATTAAAAAAAATTTCTGATAACAGTAATCTATGAGGAATATTCTTTATTCAAAATTGTTCAATAACTTTTACATTTAAACTTTATAATTTGTTAAGCGAGATTTGTGAAAATTTCTCTTTCAGAGGTATACAAAACTTAGTTAATTTTATTGTTTTATCTAACTATATTAAATGCATACTACAAATACAAAAAATATTCTGACTTGTCTTAATTATAAATTTCATGCTTTTTTGACCTTTTTCTGAATAATATCTGTAACAAAGTATAAATTTTCTGTTAATTATTATCTGTGCACGTAAATTTAAAACACTAATCGCACTATTAAAATGATCTATTGTGTATGATTTGGTTCAGAAGTGCATAAAGATCAAGTATGAAGCTAAAATGTTCAAAAAAATAAATAATCTTAGTAATTCATTAAGTAAAAGTAAACCATTTTAAAATTATTCCTATAAATTTAAGAAAACATGTAAGCTAAACTTTATACAGTACTGTATTTTCACTTTATACTCGCTCCATATTACGACAACTAAAAAAAAATAATCTATTTCGTCACGACCACAAAATATAATCTATACTTTGATAGGTTGGCGTCATTCAGCTGACCAATCAG